GTTTTCTATTTATTTATCGATACATGTATTAAGTTTCTTATCGGCAATTTCTTTTACTTCCTGATGGGTTACGCTTTAGCTTATGCTTATTTAAATAAGATAGTCCCGAGAGTGTTCGGAAGCAAAATAATAAGGCCAATGTCCTCGAAATCGTCCAGTTATGAAAAGGACCATGACAGCAGTTTGCTGGCAGTTAATTTGTGGTTTTCTGTTTGCAGCGAACCTGGTAGTTTAATTATATAACTTTTGAGTGGCTGAAAATATGTGGATATATTGCGAAATATTTATTTCAAAATAACTGTTCACTTCCACGCCTATCGAATTAATTTCTACCTTTTCGTTGCCCCTGCGTTGGCAACACGCTTTTAAGATTTGTCGTTCGTAGAATTCGGTCGCTAAAAGCGTAGCTGACCTGTAACTGTTGTAATTCCTATTTTATGCTTATTTGTACTCCTGAATTATTACTAAATGTTTTACGTGTGAATGTTATATCATTAAATGTCTTCAGTTTGATTTAAATACACCAAGAGTCGTGGAATTTATTAAGGATATTTAAAACCGAAACTGCGTCATCCATGTCGGCACCATTCTAATACGAGGTACGTAAACAATAACAATTTGGAAATAAAGATTAATTCTAGTTCTAAAAAGATAGACTCCAAAGACGAGCAAGGACTGAAAACGGGTATTTGTTATATAGAATTTTTTGTATGCGAATAACATTAACTCCTAATCTAAACAGAGGTTTTCAAATGGCAGCTATTTTAAAAACATTCGTTTAGAAAAGTGGGCAAAACTAATTTCAGATATAATAAAGCACATTAATACACATTTAACAGAATCAGTGTGAAGAAGATCGCAAGCTGCTATAAATAAGACAATCACGAATTTTTTTTTTTTTTTTTTTTTTTTTAAACTGTGAAAACTTTTTTTTTTTTTTTTTTTTTTTTTTTTTTTCTGATTTCCTTTTTAGCTAGAAAAACTATTCTCAGTTCTTCTTCCATATCTAACAGTTTGCACATATTGTTGTTTTACATATCCGTTGTCACGAATTACTTGGCAAATCGGAACCAAAAAGCCAACTGATACATGTGGGAAAGCTATCGATGCGGGGACAATAGATCGATTTTTTTACTATACTTAAAAGACTGTGCTCCAGTTTGCACAATTGCACAGAAATGCTGCTGTTCGTAACAATCCGGAAATTCAAAACTTCGATTACTTTTCTTTACAATTGCTACTTTGTTCTGTTGCAGAATTTATTTAGTAATTCAAGAAAAGGTTTGCATCAACATTAAGGCATCATAGAACGTAAAACGTGATTTTTTATGTTATAAATATGTATTTTCTAGTTGCCAAACATCAATTAATGCTGAATGACGCCATCTCTGTCTGCAGAGTCGCAAACAGATAAAAAAAAAAGAGGATTCTTTTGCTAGAAGTATCGACGATTGCTAATAAAAACAGGTAAAAGAACTCACAGATTCATTAGTCTATATAACTGTTCATTATACTGTTTCATTATTCTATAACTTCTCAAATAGATTGAATGTTATTCTATATCCTCAAAATTCTGTATCTTCTCAAATAGTTTAAATTACTTGAGACGAAACTATAATAATAACGTTATTTTTTGCATACATCATGATTCTTTTAATCTTTCCAGCTTTTATTCAACTTATAATGAGTTTTTTTTACTTTTGTCATTCATGTAACACCCTTCCATTATTGTCGAAACTTTGTGACAAAACATCTTTGCTGTTTTTGACTAGTATAATATATACGTATCCTTAAATGTCCTTCATATGTAGAAGTGACACTGAAAGTGCAATTTGTGTGCATAAATATAATGCATATGTGCTCGCGTTTAGTGTGGATGTGTATTATCTGAGCAGGTGCCTCGTAGAACAACAAGAAGCTACTAACAGATGACATTTATCTATGACTCGAATTCGATTGATATTTTAAACTGAATTTGGTTTATACGTTAATAGCGTATTGATATCTTCCCTTTCAGAAGCTGTTATAAATAAAATAATTAATAATAGTGTTAAATACTGATACAGATAAAAAGCCATTAATAGATGATGTACGGAAGTATGAAACTTGAGATTTTCTCGCGAAATATGTTCCTGATTTTGGGCCATCAAGATTTCAAATAAAAAATTTTACCTTATAAGGTATTTTCTCCCTTCTTTACTCATGCCTTGATGGTGTAACGGTAGCACACTCGGCGCATATTCGAGTGGTCAAGGTTCGAGTTCCAGCGAGGGCATTGCTCATTTTTCATGTCTCCTGCTTCTAAATAACCTAATGATTCTACAACTTTTAAACAAAACCACGCTTTCATTAAAGTAACTTAGTTAATTTTAAAATGTTCTTTCATTACTTGAATTATTTCTTACTCCTTTAAAAATATTTTGTATGAACAAAATTTTCATTGGAAAGGAAATGAATTGATGAACTAACAGAAAAAACAGATATGTAATATGTATTATGGAATCTCAGCTCGGAAATTTTCGTCTCTTTACTCCTAAGGCGCACTAAACAATTCTCTCGAATTTTAATAAGCTGAAACTTCAGATAATATTTCCTAGCTTATTTCATAACATGCGAGCAAAGGCAACACAGTATATTAACAAGCAAGACTGAATTTTAGTTTGTAACTGGCTTTATTTACATGATAAGTATGCGAACAGTAGAGCGGTTAACTGATTGAAATATTTTAGTTTTCGTTTAAAAAGTCTTAAAAGGATGTTGCAGTATTTTATGAAAAGACACTGACTGCCTTACCGAAGGGCCCGGGCTCGAATACCGGAGAAGGCATGTATGTAAATTGTCTGCCCCTTCATAGGAGGCAACGGTGGCCCATCTGTTAGGTGCCTTCATAATAAAGTGACCACCGCTTCCGGCCTTAGTAATGGCCAACGCCTGTAATGGCGAGTGCCCGCCACTGGGGCGGGGAGGGGCGAACTGTAATCGTACATTAAAAGGTATGCTTCATTTATGTGGTTTCTTATATACGAAACGTTAATAATAAATTCTGAGGAATTGTACAAAATTAAATTTCAGAATTCTCAACTTAACTTGTTAAAAGCAAAGATAATAATCGTTCCATCTAGCAGAATTTTGCTGTCAGGGATTTCTGTTGTATTTTAAAATATTGCCTTTAATTTGAGCGATTAACACAACAAACATATACTAACTTACATGCATATTATGCTTTGCATTTGACCATTGTGGCTTTTTTTTTTTTTTTTTTCTGTAAAGCACTTATATTTACTTAAATACCTTTGAAGGATTCTTCTAAAAACAGCTGTGATGTTGAATAATAATGCGCAAATTAAAACACCTTGTAATTTCCGTAATTTAGAAATTATAAATATTTCAGAAAAACTTATCGAAAATTAAATATTTACTTCCGGTAAAGTATATAGGAATTTGGGCCTGGGAATTAAATTACAGCGCATTTTGCTTAATGAAACAATGCTAAGTTAGACTTAAATAGCAAACCAGACTGATTTTTCCCTAAACTACTCTAGCTTCACTTGTCAAAATATATATGTTACCTTGCCGGATACCTTGTATAAATTTTCGAAATTGATGTGTATTTAGCGAAACAAAGGTTACTGATTATATACATTTTAGTTATGTTAGATTATTACTATATTTAATTTTAATTTCTTACGCGAGTCATATCGTACACATTTAATCAGAAATATGCTAAATGAATTACTTTATTACATTTTATATTAGAAATTAAAAGTAATAAATTATAAATAAAGTATTAAAAGGTGATTTAATACTTTATTTTCTGCTGAAACCTGAACAAGTTCTAATATAGGAAATAAGAAAAATTCCATTAAAAGGAATAAGTTCAAAACATGTACATAAAGAGATTCTTGAAATTCGTTCAGGTAAGCATTTATTAATCGTCTGGTTTGTAAGTAAAGAGATTATTCTTTGAATACTGTATGTTAAGCACGTTATATGTTAGTTTTAGCTATTATTTTATACTGTAATCTTCATTTTGGTGTAATTAGTAATCAGAATAAGGTTTTTAGAAGGATTTTGAAAGAAATTACTGTTTAGAAGAAAGACACAATTTTAAGCTATTTTACTCTATTTTGGTGTATAACAAAACAAATTTTTTAATGCTACGCTAATAAAGATTTCACAGAATCCATATATTAATAAAGGAAACATTTTAAGAAATGCTATAATTCATATTTGCCGCCCTTTCCCGTTTTTTATTTTTTTTTTCCCTTTATTATATGTCTGAACGTAATAATAGCAATGGAAGGTTATATGCGCGCACTATCATATATTACGCCTGCCATTGTCAATCTTTCTCAACCTTTTTTTAGCGGCAAGTCTAAAGCACTTTTTTTTTTTTTTTTTTTCTTCTGAGATTGTATCAACTTTATTATATATATATATATACATCTTATATGGGAAATGAAAAGAAATTCGTTATTCCATTATAATTTTACTCATAAAAATATATCTACTTCATGCTCTGTTCAGTAACAATAACAATAGAAAATTTTTTAATTCGTTTTGTGGTCCTCATGATTTCAAATGTTCTTCCGAATACTAAATTTAACTTGCGGAATTTCTAGAAGAAATGCGAAATACTGTTTAGAGACCACCCTGTTGCGTTAATACAGGTGTTTCACTTATTTTAATATTAGATATAAAGGATATAAAACAAATTATTAACATTAAACTTATTTCTTTATTATTTAAATGAGTTCGATTCTCATAGTATTGAAATTAATAACAAATGCAATTATAATAAATTATTTTATGCTTCACAGTTTTACTGTGACCAATGGAATGTAATATTCAATCAAAATGTTTTATATAATTTCAAATTTTAATGTATATTATTAACGTTTAATTTAAAAAGCGTAAAACCTTTCTTTAGTTTTATTAAAATTTTTGAAAACTGATTTTATGCTGATCAACCACAGTTCCTCATAAATATTTTTACTTACCGAAAACAGCAATGTCATTATGGTAACAACTGGCGTCAATTTTGCACACACTTCTCATTGTCAAACAGTTTCTGTTTTAATATATTTATTTCTTAAAAAACAGAACTTCAGATGCAAGACATGCTGCCAACAGGTACTAACGATAAGCTAAGAAAGATATTTATGGATCCTTTTCTCTGCGCGTATTTTGATGAGACACAAATAAAGTTTAGTTTTGTCGTCGTAAGATGGCAGCACTTAATTATGTTTTTCATTTAATTTCGTTTTTTAAACCAAAAAGCGCCTAAAACTCTCAAATATTTAAATGCTGAATGAAGATTTTGCGAAAACAGTATTAACTAGATTTCATAAAGAATATTTAGAATTAAATACGGTCAAATTCTTGTTTAGAGACTGTCAAGGAACTAACGAAAATTATTGTTAAATCGTGGGTATTGCCAAATTGCGTATATGTCTTAATTCAGTTTTAAAATTGATAATGCTAAGATTTTTATTTGAACTCAGCAGTTATAATTCAGTACAGATCACAATGTCTCAATCATATTTAAGTCTTATTATTGTGCAGACCAGGAAACGATCTGACGTTTATGAATGGAACATTAACCTTTTGAGAGATGCCAGTTACCCCTAAGAAAGAGTGTTTGCTTCATCGAATGAACATAGTTGCTTAGCTTCGTTGCAGTGAGAATTTTTTGTGGTTCCCCCCTTTCCATGAGTTCCAAGGATCTTTACGTGGTACCCCAAATCTTTGATGCTTTAAGCAAGTGCTTATTTTATTTGATGATTAATTCAGTTCTGATGTAAGCTTCTGCTGATTTTCTTTACACATAATCCCTTCCTGAGGTGAGGAATAGTGTGGAAATTGATGCGTCAGAAAAAAAGGCTTGTTTCCATCTATCAGGATTCCACGTTTTATGTTCCTGGCACCAATGTAGTTCTCATTTTTGCATTTATTTGGAAAATAAGAAATTTTGAAATAACTTCTCTGACGTAAATATTCTGCTTTTGAATTCGATTTGTATGTGTCGAAACTGACTTCTATGGATTCGTAGTTAGTCAAGCAATTCCTTTTGTCGCAGTAGTTTTTCTTTTAGACGTAACAATCAGCTTTAGCATCCTTATGGCTCTGTCAGTAAGTTTCGTTTTCTTCCCACAACTGCTTTTCATAGACGAAGTTTCGTCCTGAATATTGCATATCGTCATGACTTTAGACCCAGTATCTCTCCATATTCCCGATAATTTTGCTGCTGAGGATAAAAATGCATTAATGAGTTGAATACCAACAATCTGATCTCTGGCCTTTTTTGAGCTCAGTCAGGCCATTCATTTTCCTTCGCTACGAACTATATTTTACAAGCCACAATTGAAATTGTCAGCTTTTCATAACGCTGAAAATATATATAACATAATCATATAAAAAGTGGTTACTACTTTTGCGGTTTACTGGGTAATCGAAAGTAACAAAATTAACATTTTTAAGCATAGTGTTTCCGTTATTTTGGACAAGCCCTGTAGATGGCATATAAGATGAAAAATTTGGGAAACACTGTTGTAGGATCATTTGCTTTAAACGTGAGTCACAGAACTGTTTCAGCTATTTCATTTTCGTTTTCGGAATATAATATGGTTCGACATTTGTTATCTATTGATTATAAGTTTCTTCAACAATTTCAGATCTACGAATTTCAACTTACGAATGAAAATTTATGCTGCTATAGTCTCTCGGAGCAGCGTCTTGCTGTATGGCGAACTTGGTATCTTCTAACTCATCATAACTAAATCCCACTTTGTGAAAACAATATTTTCAATCTAATAACAGCAACCCAGGTTCTACGAGCAAACTTCGTAGCATTCGAAGCGTTAGATTTCAACTAGCCGGTATAATATAGAGATGATTCTAAGTAAGACACAATAACACGCCGAATAAATACTAATTCAGAAGTCAAACAACAAAAATCAGCGTTATATTTACAAAATTTTCACAGGACTAGTTTCGATGGTTTTACCGAACCACCATCTTCAGCTGCAAAACCGCAAATGAACCAGATATGAAATAATGATTAGATAAGATAAGAAAGCCTGGACAAGAATAAGCAAGTGGCGCCATCTGTTGGTGAAAGCAGAACTAAAACATTTTCTTTTAAAGGCCGAAGGCAAGATGGATTGGATTAGGATCGTTAACTAGAACAGAAGATTTTTTATGAATGTGAAATGCCTCTAGAAATCCAGTTCTCCAATGGAAGATGTTTTTTGAATAAATTTTTGGCAGCAGAAAAACTGAAAGTGTGGTTTTTCGGACCAACAATGTTGAGCACAGAAGGACTTCTGTGTTTCCTTTTTTCTAACAGATGCCTCATGTTCCCTTGACGTGAAATTTTTAAGGCTCTCTTAGTTTGGCCAATGTAAATTAAACCACACTGGCAAGGAATCCTATAAATACCCCAGGAATTCATATCCAGAATGGGGTCCTTGAGTATGGAACTCGGAATTTTATTGATTGGAGAATGATTCTAAGTGTTGACAAAACCTTTTGTACAGAAAGCTTCTAATGATGAGCTTTAAAAAGGTGTAACATCCAGATTCACTGGCTGTAGTTCGTTTCTACATATTGCTTTAGAAACATGATTTTCATGACGGTCGCTACAAATACAGTACACTAAATAGAGACTGTTTCTTTCGAAAATTTCTTCAGAAGGCATCCTCATAAATAATTTGCAGCGAAGCGCATAAACACCACTGGCGTTATGTCTGGAAACACTGAATCGAGATTCGTTATCTGTGCAGTGTACAAAGCATGGTAGTATCACATTTAAATTCTTTGAACTTAACCTTTATATCATTGGATGATTTAAAATTCGTTAAAAATCACATGCTGTGTTTTGCGTACAAGACTGATTGCTTATCTGGCTTTATAAATAGATTCGATTATAAAACATTTTAAATACCTCAAAAGACATCTCTTTGAGACTTTTTTTATTGTTTTCAGTCCATGAATTTCTTGTCCCGGCAAAACTGAAAGTATTGCCACCTGAGAGAAATATTTATAACAAACTTCGTGCTTAAGCAATCCTGTCGTAAGCTTAAGCTGGACCTGAGTAGAACTACGTAGGTGGGGAAGTTTAATATTGATTTCTACTGAAGGGGCAAGGAGTTTCAGTGAATTTTTGTTTCGTTTATTGTTTTGTAACACGAAAGCAACTGTTTCAAAACAAAAAGAATTTCCATATTTTCTTAATAATCCTTCATCTTTTATCCCTGTCATTCGGCGTATATTAATAGCAAAAGGCATACATGTTGGGACAGTCACAACGCTTCCTCTTCTAGGGATGTCAAAAACTAAGAAAAGGTCTCAAGAATAAGACTGCCTGGGTCCCCTTCCTTCCATTCTTCGTAGGAAACTTGCTTTTTTGACATGTCAGGGGGAAAAAAAGTGCTGGAAAGAAGAAAAAAAATTCTTTATGACAAAAAAAAAAGAAAAAAAAAAAAAGTGCTGATACAATTAATGAATTAATGAGCGTCCGGAGCAAAATTCTTTGACACACACACACAAAAAAAAAAAAAAAAAAAAAAAAAATTGTCAGCTGATTTCAAGTTATAAAATCTTTCATTTTTTATTACCTGGTTTATTAGAATCTAATTTCTGCATTAACGCCTAGAGCCCCCCCCAAAAAAAAAAACTACTGACTTTCGGAATCTGTTTACGAAATATTTTGGAACCTGCTTCAAAAATTAACATTGAGCCAAACTCTTACTGATTGATCTTAAAAGTAAATCACGTTTTTAAAAAATGTAAAATCTGAGGTTGTTACGACAGGCACCCCTGACATTTTACTAAAAACACGCAAAATTTATTTTTCCACATACTAAATATATTTTAGGAAAAATATACATTGTATATTGAGTACTTATATAGTCTACTGAAGTGTATTTAATTTTTAATTATAACACAGTAAAAGTTGATAATGTAATATATTCTTGAATGTGGTTTTTCCGTTTTTAAGCCTGTTGCAGAATATACAAAATTATAATGCTAACAAGTGAAAAAGTAACTTACACATTCCATTGCAGTAAATTAAATTCTTTTTTGTAAGCGTTCTGCCATTAAGTACCTGAACAATCCAAATGGAGTGCATTTATTCACTGAAAAGTTTTTGTAATTTTATGTCAGAAGAAAAGTACGTGTGTTTAATTTTTTACTTTGAATTGAATTTATGTTAGAAGAGCACACTGTGTATTTATATTCGTTAGCAACAGATGGCAGCACCAATAGAAAAGAATTGCTCTTGAAATAGATAAACAGCTTTTCTACTTTGACTAATTGACGAAAATGGGAAAAGGGCAGGAAGAAGTCAAGTGCATATGAACTTACTTTTTATCCTAATGTTCAATACATGTTAAATAATTTTCTATGACTCCATTTATGTAAATTAAAAAAATTAAACCAAAATTGTTTTCAAACGCGGTTATTAAACTGAAATAGGCATTTCACTATTCAACATATTTAATTCTTTAATCCTACACTTGAGATCTTCAATCTTAATTTGCTAAATTTTTTATATTATTCTGGATGAAGACTCATTCCATAATATTTTCCAAAATAAATGTTACGAATAAAGTTAATCTTTCGAATCTTGCATTTTTTTATTTGAATGCAACTTTTGTCAACCAGTAATTTTTTTCTTTTGTTTACTATTACATTTCGCGTCTTTATATATACTTTCTTCAGTATTTTTTTGCCTAAAACGCTTGCTTTGTTATATCGCTGAGAGAAAAATATTTGAAATCTTATGTGAAAAATAAAGTAATAGCAAAAGAATTAATGACAGTTGAAAAGAAAGTCTAGATTTGAACTTTTCTAGTGGTAAGTTTAAGATTTGTTCCTGGACCTGGACCAAGCTGTGAATGTATAAATCATTCGTCTTCTAATAAATGTTAATTATGTTTGCTAGGCATCCTTTTTTTCACCTTAAACTCGATGTTTTAAAAAATTTCTCTTTTTGCAGACAGCTTTCTGTTGTTCATTAGAGGTTTAAACCAAACTAGCTTTACCAAATAAAATTCACAACACAGCATTCCAACGAGTAAGGTTTTCAAAATTTAAAACTCATTTCGTCTGTACA